TTTACTTGTCTGTGGCTCCCATTAGACTGAAGGTCTGCAGGGACATCATCGTCAGAGCTTCGGTGAGCCGTCAGTGTTAGCAGAGCCCCGGCACATAGTAGGCGCTTAATACTTAAGTGATAAATAAATGAATGAGGGACTTGTGGGAACTGGCTTTCAAACCCACGGTCAATGTCATGTTAAAAATCAAGGGACGTTTTCCCAAACTGTTTCATGAAACACTGCTTCTGAGAAATATTAATAGGGGTCCTGGATTAAAGACTTGTATGGTTAAGAAGTGGAAAATGCTGCATATTCTACTTCTCAAAAACTCACTATTTTCATTAGAATATTAGAGTTTCTGGTATATCTTTCAATTAATAAATGTATTTACTATACGTTTTTTATACCTTTTGATGTGTGTTTGTGTGTTGGAAACTGCTGGAACTAATTCCTTGAAACGACACCAGTTGTACTACAGGTTTTACTTTAAGTTAAGAAATGAAATAGGGATGCATTTATCTCCATGATTGTTTACATTAGTCCGTAAAGTTTGAGTCAATGCCTTAAGACCAAAAAGGAAAAAAGAAAAGCAGCAGCAGCATGAAAATGAAAAATGACTATTTTTCAGATAACATGAATCAACTTCAAAAACATAAGAAAACCAACTGTGCAGACCTATTAAACTAACAAGGAATATAAGTGAGGTTAACAAATAAATATATTGAAAATGTCTATATATACTACCTAAAGAGCAGTGATCAATCTTAGGAAATATTATGGGAAAAGAGCCCCCATTTACTATACTTGCCAAATATAACAACTTAGGAATAAACTTCACAAAAATATATATGAATTAAATAACCCCCCCAAAAAGTTATTATTTAGAAGATCCACAAATTAGACCTACTATGTTCCTGAATGAGATGATTCAATATTGTAGGACATATCAAGATATTGATTAAACACAATGCTATCTAAAATTCGAGTCTGGAACTTGATGAAGTGTTTCTGAAGTTCAGCTGGAAGATAAATAGGTAAAAATAGCCAAGGAAAAAGTAATAAAAAAGAGCAGTAGAGGAAAGCAGCAATGTCAGTTACTGAAATATGTTAAAAGCTATACATCTTAAAATCATAGTATAGCATGCGAGAAAAATCTAAGAGATACCAGAGTATTAAAAGGCATTTTAATACCAAAGACTTAATGGAAAATACAGGTAGAATTTACATAAATGTAAGAACGGGTGATGCTGCTGCAGAAATTGGATAACAATTTTTTAAAACTTAAATTTAGCCTCTCATTTCATGCTAGATACAATTTCCAGATGGGTTAAAGATTTAAATATAAAGAAGCAAAACACGAGAGAACTAGGAGAAAGATAGATACTTTGCTTTTAAGTTAACTTAGTTTTTAGAATTTCAGGTTTACAGAAAAATTGCACCGAAAGTTCAGGGTTCCCATTTGCCGCTCCCCCTTCCCCTCACAGTGTCTCCCGTTATTAACATCTTGCATTGGTGTGGTACATCTGTCATCACTGATGAATCAATATTGCTACATTATTGTTAACTAAAGTCCCTCGTTTACATTAGGGTGCACTCTTTGTGTTGTACGGTTACATGGGTTCTGACAAATGCATCATGTCACATATTTATCATTAACGAATCATACAGGTAGTTTCACAAAAATTCTTCTCTTCATCCCTCCTTCCCTTCCTCTTGAGTCCCTGGAAACCACTAGTCTTTTTACTACCTATGTAGTGTTGCTTTTTCCGGAGGGTCATATAGTTGGACTCATACAGTAAGTAGCCTTTTCAGATTGGCTTTTTTCACTTAGCAATACGAATTTAAATTTCCTTCATGTCTTTTCCTGGCTTTATAGCTCATTTCTTTTTATTGCTGAATAATACTCCATTGCATGGGTAAATGTATTTACCCATTCACTTATTGTAAGACTAGATATATATTTTTAAATCCTATAATATTCAATAGAATAAAACAAAACCTTTATTGAGAACCTACCATGGACCACGCGCTATTCTGTAGTCTTGGGATGTATCAATGAGCAAAACATACAGCAATCTTCGCTCTTGGGAAAATTACATGAAAGTGGGAGAAGACAGATGCACAGAAAATAAAGAATAGAAATGACAAATAGGTAAATTTTAAAGTATTCAAGAAGGTGGCAATTGCCATGGAAAAGTAAAAAGAAGAGCCTGGTATAGGGACCTGGGAGTGTGGGGGCAGTGAGGGAAGGCTGCGGGGGGCAATTTTGAATGGGCTGGTCAGAGCCTGGAGAGAAGATGATGTCTATGCCCTGATTTGCTGGATGCCAGAACAAACCAATGGCCTGTAAATGTAAATTTTGAAAACTTACTACTAATCAAAAAAGGCAAATTCAAACAACGTTATAATATTTCACTTCTTATTAAATTGGCATGCACTTTAAAAAATAGAGTTGGTGATGTTATGTGGCGGTTTCACACAGTGGGAGAACGTATTAGCTTCTATAATTGTTCTCAAAGGCAATGGGGTAATTTGGAATAAGGGGTCTTAACAATGGTTAAACACCGTTGTTCCGTGTCTTTAAATGCATGGTAAAAAAGTAATCAGGAGTGCTAACAAAATTCATGTAAAAATTATTTAATTGTAATTTTAAAATTTGGAAATAGCATACATTTTCCATAATGGGAACCAATTAGAAATTATTATGGTACATTCAATTAATGTAATGCTATGCAATCTTTAAAAATGATGAAATCATTTTTTGAAGAATATTTAATGATTTGGGAAAAGTGCTTATGCATAGAAAATGTTCCAAAAGAAATATACCAAATGTTAACAGTAGTTAGAAACCTCGGGTGGTGGGATCATGAATGCTTAAAAATAACTTCTTTTGGATATTTATGTATAATGCATTACAAAATTCATGCATAATACATACATAAAATAAAATACATTATTAAAAATGAAAATTAAAGAGAAGTAAGAAGAAAATAAAAATGGTTTTGGCTTATTTCTCCTAATTCTGTTCCTTATTTTAGTTTCTTCTTCCGGATCAACTGTCATTTTTCTTTTTTTTTTTGTTCCTTCCTTTGTCCCACTCTCCTTGCTTCTTTTTCCTCCTCCACTATGTCCTGCTGCTTCTTCTGATATTCATGAGTCAAAGAGTATTCATAGATTTTCTTTACTGCCAGACTGCACTCGAGAAAGACATCTTTAGTCACCCTTTCTCCTCATTCTCACCAGCACTTTATCTATATGATGTAACTTTCATATTCTTGCCACTTAGGAGGATGGAGAGTAACGTCTTGTTTTGAATTGCATTTCTGTGATTTCCAGTGAAATTGAACCTCTTTTCACGTTCTTACTAGTCATTTGGGTTTTCCCTCCTATGAACTATTTACACGCCCTTTGCCCATTTTCTGGTTGGGTTGTTCATTCATTCATTCATTCATTTGTTCATTCGTCCTTGCTGATTTGGTGGCATTCCTTGCTGTTCTGGATGGTAATCTCTTGTCAGTTTAGGCAACTCAAGTATCATCTCTCAACCTACGCCCTTCCTGTTAACTTCGCTGTCGTCTGCAGAAGATATTCTTGAATTTTCATCTCCATCAGTTTTTTAATTGACTCACCAATATTTCCGAGTAGAACATCACTTAGATCTTTAGTTAGATCTTGGAGTTTCTGGAACCATCATTTTTTTCTCTTTCCATTTACATTTTTGTCTTTTTTCCTCTTTATTTTATAATGAATTCTCAAGTTTGTCCTCCACATTACTTATTCAGTATATCAAAGCCAATTCTGCTATTTCTGCCTGAAGTTGGGCTTAATTCTGCTTTTTGATATTTTGGTTTCCTTATAGCACTACTTTCTTCGGTAAACCCTGCTTTCTTCTCATCTCATTCTCTCATCTTATTGCTTATAGGTCTATTTTCTCGCTAACCTTCTTTTTCCATTTCATCTCATCATCAATTGAAATACAAACAACTTACAATTTTTTCTTTTACTTCTTTGAACAAAAATGTCTAGAGGTATCCTTTCTCTGAGTCTTCCAGAAGGTGTTATCTTTCCCTAATCCCCCTACTTTTTGGGTTGCTCCACCCTCACACGGGATGCTGGTGGGAGGGTACCCCAGCCCCTGTGCTCCGACCACTTGTGGAGTGGCTGAATCTCCTTCCCGGAGTCACAGATGGAAGGTAGGTTGGTGAGCCCAGCTCCTCACACGTTTCCTGTCAGTGCTGCTCCCTCAGACAGAAATGGGATCCACTCCTACGTCCATCGCCGGCTCTCTAGCACATGAAACAGATGGACTACATGGAAAACTATAGCCCTGGCTTTTACCGCTTCTATTTCTATCTTCTTCCAGGCCTGTAGTGTTTTATTTATGGAGACTACTATGCTGGTAGCTCACAACCTAAGTCTTGCCCAGGTGTTTTCTGAAGAGTTAAAGTCTCTGGATGTAGATAGGGGTGAGTGAGATGAGAAATTACCATCTGGCTGTCCTAAAAAATTACATGAGCTCAGTGAAGGACTAGCTGGCTAGTTTTCTGGAAAGTGCAGAGCTTGTACTTCTCAACTAAGCATCATACAGTGGAGGAGAAACAAAAGATTTTCTCCCTCGTTTCAGTACAGTTTTCTTCTTTTCCTTTAGAAACAAAGCACAAGGTGTCTCCCATTATGTCATGGTGCTTATGAGTCTGGTTATAGTGGCATTAAAGCCAGACTCTCCCAGATTTTGGAAACAAGCTCATTGTTCCAGTTTTCACTGGGTTTATGAATTTTCACCTTGTATGTCTTCTGAGCTATTTTACTGAGACATTGAGAAAGGCCAGGTGACACTTAAAGCTGATCCATTTATTTAAGAAGCCACAGTTTCATTTCTTGCCCTGGAGAGGCCATGATCTCTGCGTGGAAAGTTCTTCAAGGGACACCTGCAGGCCAGGCCAGGCCACTTCTCAAAGAAGAACAGGCTTGAAACTGCTCCAAACGTTTGGGCAAGCAATTCTGCATGAAAGAGAAAAATCTGCCTGAGAGATTTTTAAAGTCTGGTAGTATTAACACCCACCTCTACCACACAAAAAGTTTCAATGTGGCTTCGCCTAAAGATATGGACTTTAGAGAAATTGCAACTTGGTGAATCCATTCTAATACAGCAGATGAAAATACAAAAATGAATAAAACAGTCTGGTCATATGGATATAGAGTGAGAGAAGGGAGCAAAGAATGACATAAGTGAGTTAAATTACACCCAGTGAGGGCTATGTGGTTTAGCATGTTGTTCTGTGGATGGACCTACTTGATATTATTGCTCTTTCTTTCTTTGAGGCTCAAAGGCCAAAGGAAAACAATAGGTGTTAAGTAGCCCTTATTTCAACGTGAGGACTACACCAGCTGTCCATAAGTGTGCCAAACAAAATAGAGTGTTCCCAGTCAAATCTGAATTTCAGATAAACAACAAGTAATTTTTTAAGGACTTTCAAATGTACAGGACTTTCAAAAGGTGGTGTCTGAACACTTTTAGTGAGGCTTTGAACGTACAAAAGGGTAGAGGCTGAGGAGGCCAGGTGATAGGATTTGAAGCCACTTCCTAGAGTTTGGTGTCATTCCTGCTGTCCCCTACCCCCATGGGGGAGAGGAAGCTGTGCTTGCTTCTACAAATGCTTCCTGAGAAAGGCCCAAAGAACTTGCAGGCTGGAGATAGAGGGAGCAGGCGGTGTTTCATGCCTGGAAGACTCAAATTAAAGATGGCGGGAGCCGTTGCCTAGCAGCGAGCAAGGGGGAGAGGCTGCACTGAAATCAAGCTGTGCCTCCACGGAAGGCAGGACAGAGGGGCATACTTCCCATGAACGAGACATGGGTCGCCTGGCAGAGATGAGGCCTGTAGCTTACTTGAAAATGAACTCCACTCAGGAGGGCTTCCTTCCAGATGAAGAGAATTTGGCAGAATTGTAGGTGCTGAGGGGTTTGCTGTAAGATACCACCTGGAGGAGAACTGAGGGAGGTAGAAGCTGATGTTCCCAGAGAAGAACTTTCTGTGGGATTTGTGAAAGAACCATATAAAGGCCCAGGAGCACCGGTGGAGATCATTCATTCGTTCCTTATGAAAGATTTATACTGCATGCTAGGTACGCACTGTTCTCGGTGCTTAGGATGCATCAGAGAACACAGCAGACACAGATCCTTGCTCTTAAGGAGCGAAGGAGTGGCAGATCGTGAACTAAACCTGATAAATACATAATAAAGAATGTTAGAAAGTAACAATGGTTATGCTGTTTTTCAGAGCAGAGTCAGGGCCTTGAAAGGGCTATGGGAGGAGGGCTGCAGGTATTAATTAGAGAGGTAGGTGTTGATGGGAGTGCTCAGGGCTCCTTATGAAACGCTGCGTTATTTCAGGTGATATGTCAAGTGGGCGTGCGTCTATTTCATTTAAAATTACCAGGAATAAGTTAATGCATACTACCCAATGGTCATATGTCATTCTTAAACATCTTTTCAATTGGCCAAAAGAGAGCACAATAATAGTAAATAGCAAAATTCCTCAGTCAGACTGTTATTTATTACAGAGAAAGCTAATGGGGAGTCTAAAAAAACAGAATCTGGGAAAAATGTCAATGTCAGTTTTTCCGCTTTGTTCCTTTGCCTACCTGGCTCCTGGCTAAGGTGGCGTCAGCAGGGACAAGAGTAGAGACGGAAAGAGGCTGAAATGAAGGGTTATTTTCTATTGGAAACAGAAGAGAACTAAGAGGGAGGAAAGAATGACCCAGAAAGTAGGGGAGGGTGACAGTGAAAAGACCAAAATTTCTAAAGGCAGGTTTGAGTGAGACTTTAAAAGAAATTTAAACAGGGAAAAGAGTATATTTAAAGTATTTAAATAGCTTTTAGTTTGTCAAAATAGTACTTCCCTGAATAGGATTCTGAGCCAAGGCTGACTTCAAAGTTAGGGAGCCAATTCAGTTTATGCAGGTCACCAAAGGTCATGTTCATGGCAACGTGGTTTGAAGGAGTTGAAAATCACCAGGGGAATGTGTAAACAAAATGTAGCCTATACCATCAACAACAATGGACTAAGTTTACAGGTAGCAACATGGATAGATTTCAAAATATGGGTGACATGAAAAATGGAAAATAATTAATAGCATCACACCATGAATACAATCTAAAACACACACATGCACACACAGACACACACACAAAACAACTACTCTCTATATTTATGCTACATGATGTCTGTAGGGACATATTGAATGCAGATACAAAGGCTAAATAATAAATATACTAGAGTGGTTGGCAAGGGAAGGAGGGGAATTAAGAGTGGAAATGGGGAAGGAACAACCCTGAACAGCCGCTGACATTGTCTCACGTCACAATATGTGGGAAGCGTCACTGATCACCTCTCATCAGGTAGGGCCATTGCCCATGCTGCTCCAAGACTCAGGTACTTTGTAAGCTTTAGGCTGTCCCTTCTTCATATGAATGAATCTGAAGCCTAGCGTGCTCTTCTGTAATCCTCCGTATCGATGAAAGAACAGTAAGGTCTCTGGTTGCTGGTATGATTCTCTGGAAGCCGAAGGGTGAGCCTAGGATTGTGGTCTTAACAGGGGAGGAGGGTTGTGCTAAATTCTGATATTTAATTGTGGGTCTCTTACAGGCATCCCTTTTCCTGGTGCGCAAGGAGGGGCTGTAGGGAGGATCAGAGGGGCTCTACAAGGCACTGTCAGACCCTAGATGCCTGCAACTGATGAAAGCCTTAGGTTTCTCCTGGCCATCTTCCTAAGGTAAGTTTGCACCTTCTCAACAATAGGCTACAGCTGGGGTTCTGCTCTAGGCTGAAGGTACCATGGCATGCCCAGGCTGCCATCTGGTCTCAACTCAATGGGGAGCAGACTTTCCTCTGGGGCAGGCCATCAGACCTCTCCTGCAGGTGAGCCTGGTTTTTAGCCCTTTTCCACATTTTTTGTCCTCTCTACAACTCATTGATGGTGGTAATGGTTAGCTAAAGGAGAAACCCACCTCCTACCTTTTTAGATTCCCACTGGGGGAGTGTTTTGCTGATTTTTCAGCAAGCCAGCATGCTGCCAGCTTTCGGGCCAGCTCATGCTTATGCTTAATCCCAGCAGCTTCTAACACCACATGGGAAACTTAGATAGAAATGGAAACTCTTTATCTTCTGCCCACCACTTGAAGATCAAATTGCTTGCCTTCAAATACTGTGTGCCATATATAATAGAAATTATTTGACCACATGTTATATTTTAAAGAGATTTGCATTCTCAGACAGAAAAGAAAGCACAATTTGATTATTTCAGTATGGAATTCATTCTGTTTTCCAAATGTAAGATATTTTCTTATTTCAACCTAGAATTTGGAAATATTCATTCCTTAAACAATATTTACTAAGCACCTATCACGTATTAGGACCTAATGTTTAAGAAGTCCCAGGCTTAAAAAGATAAAAAATCATGGTTCCTGCCTCCATGAACTTATTGACGGTCTACCAGGGAGACCATTACAATGCATGAAGACGATTGCTATAATGGGAGGTATATAAAGCCGCAGAGGAAAACATGTTTCTTGGTGAATCAAGGAAAACTTCACAGAGGAGAAATCTTTAGCTAAGTCTTGAGAACAGTTAGACAAGAGATGGGGGCAGGGAAGAAGAGCTGTGGAAGGGTTTTTGACGGACAGAATGGCTCTCTGTTTCTGGGACACCCAGCAGAGCAGGAATGAGAACGCTGGCGTGAAGTTCCCCTCCCTGGTTCTCAGCACAGCCTTGGAGAATCTCTTAGGTCATTGAGGAACTTTGGGTGAGCAATCCTTACAGATTACTGATTCCAGCAGACCTGAATAAAGTTTCCTGTTTGTTCTGAAGCATGAATTTGAGAACCGGTGTGCATTGCAAAACTTCCATCTAATGTATCGCAATAATAGAAGCACCTGTTCTGGACACAGCAATATTTTTGTTGTTGCTGTTAAGTCACTAGACTGAGTACATCAAAACTAACTTCTTCATTTAAAAAAAATTGAATGAATAATTTCAAATATTGCAGTTGATCATGCAAGATAAGTTAGACTTGACCTCATGGATTCAAATTTCTTGCATGGAACTAAAAATTGACCAGTTTTATTTTTTAAGCTCTGGGAGCACTAATCAACTTTATTTGGTAGACCATAAAAAAACATAGGGCCTTTTCATATGGTTTGGCTCTGCATAAAGTGAGACCCTTGGAATGGAATATGAGGTCACTTAGTGTGCTATGATATTATCCCTTTGGTTTTAAATATTTGCCAAATGTTATTTTTAATTGTGATTACAATCAACTTTTCACAGACACCTAGAGGGTTCAGAAATGAATAACATTTGAAACTTTTTAAATGTGAATTTCTTTCACTCCTCATGAAGTCAGAGCAATTACCTCTTCAATTCAGCACTTTGCAAACACTCTACACAGGAGCCACGAGTGTAAGAGGTTGATGGTGAGAAAATACACTGGATTTCAACTCCAAAATTCTTCAGGAAACCTCAAGGCCAAGATTAATAGCTGAAGCAATGAGTGAGATTCAATAATTACATGACTTTTTTTTTTATTGTAGTCATAATAGCTTATAACATAGTGAGATTTCAATTGTACGTCATTGTTTGTCATATACTATATAAATGTGCCCCTTCATCCCTTGTGCCTACCCTCCACCCTCCTTCCTCCGGTAACTACTAATTTATTCTCTTTGTCCATAAGTTTGTTTATCTTCCACATATGAGTGAAATCATATGATGCTTGTCTTTCTCTGGCTTATTTTGCTTAACATGATGCCCTCAAGGTCCATCCATGTTGTTGCAAATGGGATGATTTTGTCTTTTTTATGGCTAAGTAGTATTCCATTGTGTGTGTGTGTGTGTGTGTGTGTGTGTGTGTGTGTATGCCACATCTTCTTTATCCAATCATCCGTCAGTGGGCACTTGGGTTGCTTCCACATCTTGGCTATTGGGAATAATGCTGCAATGAACATAGGGGTGCATAAGTCTCTTTGTATTGCTGATTTCCAGTTCTTTGAGTAAGTACCCAGTAGTAAGACAGCTGGGACATATGGTATTTCTTTTTTTAATTTTTTGAGAAATCTCCATACTGTTTTCCATAGTGGCTGCACCAGTTTGCATTCCCACCAGCAGTGTATGAGGGTTCCCTTTTCTCTACAACCTCTCCAACATTTGTTGTTTTTTGTCTTGGTGATTATAGCCATTGTAATGGGTGTAAGATGGTACCCAAGTGCAGTTTTGATTTGCATCTCCCTGATGATTAGTGATGTTGAGCGTCTTTTCATGTGCCTCTTGGCCATCTGTATATCTTCTTTGGAAAAATGTCTGTTCATATCTTCTGCCCACTTTTTGACTGAGATGTTTGGTTTTTTATAGTTCATTTATGTGAGTTCTTTATATATTATGGAGATTAACCCCTTATTGGATATATGATTTGCAAATATTTTCTCCCAGTTGGTGGGTTGTTTTTTCATTTTGATCTTGGTTTCCTTTGTATGGCCTTTTTTCCCCCCCACTGGCAGTTTAGGAAGTCTAGGTGAATATTTCAAATGAAACATATACACTGACACGTTTCTGTGATTGAAAGAATCCTATTTCCACCAAGGTTTTATCCAACCCCTTTAAGGAAGAGGATTGGCCAACATGTTAATAATGTCTCAGCCCCGCTACTTTGCTTTCAATGTGGAAAGCAATGGAGTACAGGAGTTAAATGTGCAGGCTCTGAAGCCACATCACCTGGATTTGAATCCTAGCTCTTTCACTCAATGGCTGGGTGGCTTTGGGAAGCTTACTTAAACTTGACATGCCTCACTTTTCACATCAGCAAAATGGGAATGTTAATGGTTCCTGCTTCATGCGGTGACTGTGGGTATTAAATGAGTCAATGCATGCATTGCTTGTTTTCCCAAACTACCAGGCTAACGTGATGCGGCAGAGAGAGTGAGTTAAGATTCACCAAATATCCACATACCGCTACATATCCCAGCTTCCGTTGCCATTAGATTGGGGCTGTGTGACTAGTTCTGGCCAATCACCCCAAGCAGCAGTGATCTGCATCGCTTCCAGGACAGGGCGGCTAAGGATCAGGGAGCTCTCTCTGTCCCTCCCTTCCCCTGCTGTGACTTTGCAGACCACCCATTCCTGTGGGTGTCACTATGACATGGTAAGCGCCTGGGTCCCTGAGCCACAGCTTGAAAGAGAGACACACAGGGCAGCCGCTCCATCTGCCGTGAAATTTACATGAATGAGAAAGAAACTTTTGATTGCGATAAGCCAATGAGATTTGGGGAGTTTTGTTGCCACACATAGCCTAACATTACCTTGTCTATTACAAGACATAAGCAGCTTAATCTTACTTTAAACAGTCCTGCTTCTTTCTCCCTTTAAACTTCATTTTAGACATATTTTAGGTTTTTCCAATAACTAAAACATTAAACCATAAAACTCTTTAAGAAATAAACACATATACTTAATTTTTATTCTATGAATTCCATGATTTTTGCATTGAATTAGGTTACTCTGTGTGATCTCCAATGGATCAGGCGAAGCTACATAATTAGAGCCGGGCTCACCTGAAGAACTTCTGATGCCAGTTATCTAGGAAAGAGCTGTGCTTTGCTTTCAGGAAAAGGGACTAAGAGGATCCTGAGGATGTGAAGTTGGAGGACGTGAAGTTCTCTTGCTCTTGATACTTTGTTCTTGGTAAGGGAAAGGTCAAGGTCTTTAAAAGGCAGTAAAAAGTTGGGGGTTGTAGTCACTGCTCTTGGAAACAGTTCAGAATTCTAGAAAGTAAAGACCCCACAAGGACTATGGCCCAATACTGTAGAAATAGCAGAAGCAATTATTTATAAAAGAAAAAATAAAAATAATAAAAGGGAAGATGTCTTAGTCCATTCAGGCTGCTATAACAGAATACCATAGACTAGGTGGCTTATAATCAACAGAAATTTCTTTCTCACAGTTCTGAAGACTGGGAAGTCCAAGATCAAGGTGCTGGCAGATTTGATGTCTGGTGAGAGCCCATCTTCTGGCTCACAGACAGTGCCTTCTGATTGTGTCCTCACAGGGCGGAAGGGCAGAGAGTGTCCTCTGGGGTCTCTTTCATAAGGGCACTAATCCCATTCGTGAGGACTCTGCCTTCATGACCTAATCACTTCCCAAAGGCCCCCCCTCCTAATACCATCACATTGAGGGTTAGGATTTCAACATGTGAATTTGGGGAGCGCACAAACATTCAGCCCATAACAGAAGGCAAGCTTAAGGCAACAAGAGTGTTCTCTCTTGGTCTCCCCAGCCAACAAAATTCTCCTTCCAGAATTAACCATGGAAGTAAATGGTTTGTTTTTCTTAAGAAAGAGCATTCTCTTAATTATCTTGAAAAAAAATTGGTGACTTTTTCTACCGATCCTTAAGGATTTCAATCACACTGTGATTCATGATCTTATGAATGAGCACGAATTAGAACATCCCTTTGAATGCACGCCACTTCCACTAATTTGGAGTTTTGAATTTGTCTCTTTATTGTCTTTTCCAATACTCCAGCCAATCCTCTGGACTGCACATTTTTATTGCCTTTTTATTCCACTAAGTTGAGGGCAAGCCCATATAACTCTCAAGTAAAACAATTAAAATCCCACCACTGGCTTTTCTTGATTTCAGACTGGGGGTAACAGGTTACAACTGTGAAAGTGATATAATATTTTATTTCCTGTGCCAAATCCTACCCCTTGACCTCACGTAGCT